GCTGAATCTATGTTGCAATGAAAACAGACACTGATAGGAACTTTCAGGGCTACAGAATTTTTAAAAACATAGTTAAAAGTAACATTGATGTTTGCTTTTGAGAGTTTTCCTCACTTATTTTTAGGTCACCTGTTTTGTTGTTGTTGTTGTTGTTGTTTTGTTTTTTGAGAGATTTTTGCTATAGGGTGCGTGCGCTCGCCAAACAGACAGAGAGAGACAGAGAGACAGAAAGCGAGAAATCACCCCCCAGGGGGGGATGGTCACGCCGCAATCCCTTCTCCTCCATTCTGCTCTCAGGATCTTGGGCACGCACGCACATGCACCCGGCATGAGTTTTAAGCCACCAGGTCCAGGACGTGAATCGCGGTCGACTACGTGGTAGTCCAGCAACATAGCCGTTACGCTAACTGCTGGTTCCCTAGGTCACCTGTTTTTACATCTTATTTTAGCAATAACAAGTAAACAAGGTGTGCTCAGATATTCCACTCAATGAATTTCTGTTGTAGGTTCTGAAGACACCACCAATGAAGACTACCAAAGCATTGCTTTATACTTTGAAGGAGAAAAAAGACACTTTCAGGCTGGAAAATTCTTCTTGCTCTGCGGCCAGTATTCTCGAGTTAGTATTCGCCAAGAAGACCCCCAGAAATGGCTCTAGGAAATATGTCTAAATACTAGTAGTTCCTAGGCCGCAAGATCTGAATTCGGAGAGCCAAATCTGGAATCTTCCTCTTCCTCCCACACCCAGTCATGGTCATCCTTTGTCATATCCCTTACATCTATCTGTTCCTTTTCCTTCTAGAAACCATCAACTCAGCGTAAGCCCGGATTTCTCCATTTCTGGTTATTGTTATAGTCTCCTGTTGTCTCTGTATTTAGTTTCTCCATCTGTAACTCTTCCTGCATATTGTTGACCAGATAGTATTTGTTTTCATTGCTAAAGAGTCCCTTCACCGGAGCCAGCAAGTGGTGTCGTGGTTAAGGCATGGTGGCTGACTGAGGTTCCATCTCAGACCCTAGCTCTCCCTAGTGAGATCGTGCATAACACAGAAAGAGGAGCCTTCCTGGTATCCTTCATGAAATCCAGCACAGCCCAGTATACAGAGTAGCAGATTGTCAGTAAATATCTGTTAGATGAAAAAAAAAAAAAAAAAAGAATAGAATTAAATCTTTCTACTGAAAGAGGGTGCATTTTACATTTTCCTTTCATCAGACATCAGAACTATTAGTTCGTCCAACAAGCTAATCGATTTGCCAATTATTTAAACTACACTTAACCTTTAAACACACATACACACTGCACATGCACACACACACACACACACACACACACACAAGTACTTCAAAAAAGCTTTGAAAAAATGGAATTTTGAGTTTATTTTGGTGTAAAAAAATTTGAAATCCATGCACAGTTTTTTGTAATACATATTTTCCATGAGCTTTTTGAAGATCCCCTCATTTGAGTGTGTATGTAGGTTTTTTTAATGAATGAGGGTGTATAGGTTAGAAAGAGGAGGGTTTACAGAATCTCACCATGTTGTGGCCCCCCCATCCCAGCCTCTCCGTTCCCTAGGACCACAGGTGCATGTCACCATGCCTAGCTTGTTGGGTTGCACTGGCAACCAAACCTGGGCATCCCGTGTGGCTTCCACCACCAGGGAATGACACCCTGCTGCCGGCACCACTGCGGCTAGGCCATTTTTATGTGTGTATTTAAGACTGACCCAGCACTGTTGGAGCCTCTGGTTGAGAGAAAGACAGTCAACCTATAATTACTTTGTATGTGTGAAAGTGTTGTTTTTCCCAGTGCGAAAGCAGTCTGGAAATTTTTAATTGCTGTTCTCATTTCAGGCACTTAAACACTTTTTGAAATGCCCAAGCTCAGAAGATAACGTGGCAATAGAAATGGCAATTGAAACGGTAAGTAAACGCTGGAATGAAACTTTCGGGGTGACAAAATTTTAGAAAAACATTTTGAAAAAGTTTCCAAATATACACAAAAGTAGCGACAGTATAACAAATTCTCACATACTGTGTCATCCGACTTCGGTAGCTATCAAAATATGGGCATACTTACGTCATTCCCTCGGTTAATGCTGTGAAGAGAAATGCCGTTCAAATCTTTTTCCCAATTTTGAATTGTATCATCTCATCTCATTTTTACTGATTTGTAAGATTTCGCTATATATTCTGGATACAAGCCTTTTACGTCAGATCTACATATTGCAAAAATCTCTCAAAGGTGCGGCCTGCCTGGTTTTTATTGTCTAATGGTATCTTGACAGACGAAACTTCAGAAGTTTAATAAAGTCCAATTAATGGGACCAGCAGATGGCATAATGGCTATGTCACTGGACTCCCATGTAGTCGACCGTGGTTCAAGTCTCAGACCTGGTGGCTTAAACTCACGCCGGATGCATGTGCATGCGTGCCCAAAATCCCAAGAGGAGAATGGAGGAGAAGGGATTGCGGTGTGGCCATCCCCCCTGGGGGGTGATTTCTCGCTTTCTGTCTCTCTGTCTCTCTCTGGCGAGCGCACGCGCCCTATAGCAAAAACCTCTCCAAAAATTAAAAAATTAAAACATAAAGTCCAACTAATGAATCTTTGATAGTTAGCACTTTGTGGTTCAGTTTTAGAAATCTTTGACTAGCTACTCCCTATTTATTTTCTTCTATAAGTTTGATAGTTTTGGCTTTCTCGTGTGCGTTGTTTGAAGTAGGAGCCAGGATCTGTCTTTTCCATATGAATATCCAGTTGACCTGCCATTGTTTATCAAAATACCATTCTTTTCCACAACTGAGTTACCATGGAACATTTGTCATAAAATAACCATGTATGAGTAAGTCTGTTTGGGGATTCTTTAGTCTTTCTCATTGATTCAGTTGTCTGACCTGTAGCAATCCCACATTCTCTTCATTGTTACATGTATTATGTTACAATCTTTCTGTTTCTGTAGATTTCCCCATTCTAGACATTTCATACAAATGGAATCACACGTATGTGGCCTTTTGTGTTTGGCTTCTTAACACTGAGTATGATGTTCTCAAGCCTCGTCCATGTTGCAGCATGGATCAGGCCTTCATAGCATCTTATGGCTGAAAAATATTTGTCGTGTAGATAGGGCCACATTTTGTTTATGCATTCCTCCGTCGGTGGACATTCAAGTTGTTTCCACTCTTTGGTGTCACAAAAATTAGTGCTGACATCTGTGTGCAAGTTTTCCTGGGATGTGTGTTTTCATTGCTCTCGGGTGGAATTGCTAGGCCATGTGTAAACCCTGTGTTTAACGTTTTGAGAAGCCGCCTCCTGTTTCCTGAAGCAGCTGTTTGGCTTTGCGTTCCCTCAGCATTGAGGGAGTGTCCCTGTTTCTCCAACAATAATTTCTTGATATGGTCAAATATCCAGTTAGGATTCCGATTTCCCCAACTCTTGCATATAGTAGTGTTCTGTTAGATTTTTGCCATAGGGCTCTTGCACTTGCCAGAGAGAGACAGAGATAGAGGGAAGGTGAGAAAGCACCCCTTAGGGGCAGCGATCATGCTGCAATCCCTTCTCCTTTGTTCTTCTCGTGGGATTTTAGACACACGTGCACACGCATTCGGCATGATTTTCAAGCCACTAGGTCTGGTCTTCTGAGAACTCAGCCGTGTGGGAGTCAGCTGCCTTAACCTCCACCAGAAGCTTTGCTGTTAACCCTTCCTCTGTATTGGCTTATTCACCCAAAACCATTCACAAAAGCCATGAGGAGAACAAGCTCTACCATTTCTCACCACCAGCACCCCTTCCTTACCGCAGTGGCAGGAGCAGAGGCCACCTAGGTTCATCAACGCGTGGCCACAGGCAGTGGAGCGGGTAGCAATCTCACGTCTCTTCTGCTCGGGCCCACTGAGCTGACCCTCCTCTACTGCACACGTCCTTCCAGCTTTCCCCCACGCCTTTCCCCGAGGTGCAGCAGGCGAGGCCACGAGTTGCTGCATCCCTGCAGACAGTGTCCTTCCTGTTTCGGTGGGGATTCTCGCTGTAGGGTCATCCCTGGGACCAGAGGGCAGGACCGCCCTCTGCTGTGTTCCCCGCCGGGCTGAGCTCATGGTGTTCATGGCGCGCCTCTGATTCGGGGACACAGAACCCCAGCCTCCTGCTGTTGCCAATCACGCCTAATATTCTCCAGATTCCTGACCTCTCACACCCTATTTCTACTCACTAACGATCTGTTTCCACCCTCCACCATAGCTCACCATCGTTCCTGACCTTTCCCACGTTTCCAGCATTTAGTGATTGAACTCTCACCTTTATGGAAATGAGTTTTCCAGTGGAGATTTCTAGGCCAGGGTCCTCTCCTGACCCTGCCCTTCTCTCCCCCGTTTCCAGCCACTGTCCTGTTGGGGGCGCTGTGGCTGTAACACTCAGCTCTCTCCGTCCTTGGTCCTGTGCAGCCACGGGAGCTACTGAGCAAAGGGCACTCCGCAGCTCACTGTTCCCAGCTCCTGTGTTTGAGATGCTGTTCTCTAAGCGTCATCATCACTTACCTTGGAAAAGTTTTTATCAAAACATCCAACAATATTCTTTTTTTTTTTAAAGAATTATTTTATTTAGCTATTTATTTATTTATTTATTTCCATTTGACTAGAGAGGGATAGAGAAAAAGAGAGAGAGAAAGCAAGCTGCCACGTCCAGGATTTGAACCACAGTCAGCCATGTGGGAGTCCAGCCCCCTCAATCACCACGCCACCTGCTGGGCCCACATCCAAGAATATCTTATGTGTATAAAAGAAAATACAGGATTTCAACACAGCAGCTGAGAAACTGTAGCTTCTAAGGATAGATTTTTACAGACTCAGCAAACAGAGATGCTGGGTCTGTGTTGTATTTCGGGCACTGTATTCCAGGTGTGTTAAACATTTCTGTTCCAGTTTCTTCGCCAAAGATTATTTGCCTTTCCCACCCCACCCCCGGCCCCCTTGCTCGGTTTAAAGATGCTGAATTTGCTGGGCTTTTTCTCTCTTATTAAACAGGTTGGTCAGGCCAAAGATGAACTGCTAACCAGTCAGCTGATAGACCACCTGATGGGGGAGAGTGACGGCATGCCCAAGGTACAAGAACGTGTGCTGTTTTTGGGTTTTCCCATCTTGCGATCAGAATACCAGAGCCATTCTTCACAGATCTAGAAAAGACAATAGCAGAATTCGGAATCATAAAAGACCTCGTATTGCCAAAACAATCCTGTGCAAGAAGAGTGGAGTGAGTGGCATCTCACTCCCTGACCCCAAAATATACTTTAAAGCTGTGATTATCAAAACAGTATGGTGTTGGGACCAGCAGTTAGCATAATGGCTATGTCGCTGAACTCCCACGTAGTCAACCGCAGTTCACATCCCGGACCCAGTGGCTTAAAACTCATGCCGGGTGCGTGTGCGTGCGTGCGCAAGGTCCCTAGAGGAGAATAGAGGAGAAGCAATTGTGGCATGGCCATCCCCTTGGGGGATGATTTCTTGCTTTCTGTCTCTCTCTGCCTGGTGAGCGCACACACCCTATAGCAAAAACCTCTTAAAAAAAAAAAAAAAAAAAAAAAAAAAAAAAAAAAAAAAAAAAGGGGTTGAAAAAAAAAAATAAAAAAAAAAAAACATGGTGTTGGTACAAAAACAGACAGGTGGACCGATGGATTTTCCCATCTTGGTTAGGCCTTTATTTATTCTGCCATGTTTTCACCTATCACACTTAGGGAGTATAAGCCTGTAAATTTTCTCTCTGAAAGTAGTCATAAACCCTTTAAGCAGACACTGCATGTTAGAAGATATTATGTATATTCACTCTTTAAAATTGGCATTGCCTCCTGTAAAATAACTTTGACCCCCTCTATAACCATCTTCACAATTTTTTCTTACATGTTAGTTTCATTCATTCTAGGAATTATGAAAATGGTCATTGAAACGATGATGGAGCTCTGATCCTAAAAATCAGAGTATGCTTTGTGTATTTCAAAGATGGTGGGAAATAACAGAAACCATGTTGCACATAAAAGTAACTCACTGTGAATATGAAGTAGAAATAGACCGTGACAAGCACATTCTCAGTCAGCCACAGAGGCATGGCAGTAACACGACACCCTGCCATGTTGAAGCCGTACGGGAAGGTCTCGGGCCTGCACCCCAAAGCCTCCCTGTATATACGGGGTGCACACACGTGCCTGTGATCCTGCTGGCTGAGGCTGGGGGCGGATTGTGCTGTGAGCACCCCATTGTTCTCCCTCTCTCAAAAGAAATATTGGGTCATTGGAAATGTCATGATGCATTTTTGCATAGAAAAACAGAAAAAAAATGTCATGACTTTTCTGGCGACCCAATAAATCATTTTTTAAAAGAATTATTTATTTAATTTAAATTGTATTAATTTAATGAATAAAATTTCATTTAATTTTATTCATTCATTTTAATTTGACCAGAGAGAGGCACAGAGAGAGAGAGAGGGAAAGTGAGAAAGCAAGCCACCAGGTCCAGGACTCGAACCATGGTTGGCCATGTGGGAGTGTCCAGCACCTTAACACTATGCCACCTGCTGGTCCCTGAATAAATAAAATTTTAAAAAGGAAAAAGAAAGAGCATATTTTCAAAATATGTTATTGACTTGGGTTCCTGCAGAAATCAGTCTTCTCTCAGCCCTGATGAAGAGAGTCTGGCACTCCTTCGGGATTACCCTAGACCCCTTTCTTGCCTTTTGCTCTAGTGTTCAAGGAGGTTGCTTCTGAGAATTCAAGTCCCAGACGGGAGGACCAGCAGATCGTCACAGCTAGGGTGGGTCTATCTGTCCCCAAGTCCAATTCTTTTCTCTTAGAGTTAAAGCCACGGAGACCCAGAACAGCTGAGTTAACTAACCAAAGAACACAGGCCCCTGGACCCTCCCAAACCAGGTTCCCTCTGTCTAGTTATTCTGACCATCTGGAAGCCTGCACCACATACATTATCTGGTCTAGAGTTGGAATAGGAGTGGAAAACGACCTAAGGCCCAAGACAACCTTATAGGCAGAGAAAGGTATTCAGGTGTGAAACGGTTGCTCTTGGCCACGTGGGCACCTCGTATAAGAACACGCCTTACGTCCAAGCACGAGATCTAGGCCTCAAGTCAGGAACACGGACTGAGTGAGGCCAGATGAGGCTGAAATCCTGCCTCTGCCCCACTACTGTAGTTTCGTCTATGAAATCAGGAAAATAAGAATGCCTTCCTCCTAGAGCAGGCAGGAGGATTTAAGTGAGTTACTTCCTCTCATTCTTAAAATACCACCTGGCTGGGACCAGCAGGTGGCGTGGTGGTTAAGGTGCTAGACACTCCCACATGGCCAACCAGGGTTCAAGTCCTGAATCTGATGGCTTGCTTTCTCACTTCCTCTCTCTATCACTCTCACCCTCTGTCTCTCTCTGGTCAGACTAAAAAAATACAATGAATGAATAAATAAAATAAAATAATTTTAAAATATAGATATACCACCTGGCACATACTGAACTCAGTAAATCTCTCATGCATAAGCTAATTCTTGATTCGTTGGGTTATTTATTTATTTATCTCATGACAGAGGGAGAAAGAGACAAGCACCTGGAAAGGGTTCCATACCGTGATCCTCCCACCAGCTCTCCCCACTAGCCAGGATCATGGGTACACACGTATGTGCCTAGCATGTATAGATTGACCCAAGAACTAAACCCTGACCTTCCATGTGGCCCCCAGCATTCAGAGTAGCCTTCCACCACTACACCACCATGGCTGGGCCTGTATTTTGTTTTTGTTTTTAATTTGCCAGAGGCCTCTTGTGCTCACCGGAGAGAAAGCACGTCCGAAGGGGCATGATATTCGGCAGCCTCTCCTCCCTCTCTCCTTCCTGTTGGATGTTGGGTGCACACACACACCTGTTGTGTCTCCCAAGTGTCTGGGTCCAGTGCTCGAACCGTGCAGTCAGCCTGGTGGGACCCAGCCACCTCCATCACCATGCCATGGGCTGGCTCGCGTTGGGTTTCATCAGAACAGTAGCAATTCTCAGCTGCTGGAGGGCGAATGTGATTCTAACGGAAGCGCCCACGTTAGGTGTCCCTCTCCTTAGCCAGTGAAGAAGGTGACGTTTCTCTCATGGTTTGTGTGCCAGGACGCCAAGTACCTGTTCCGCCTGTACATGGCTCTGAAGCAGTACCGAGAGGCGGCCCGCACTGCCATCATCATCGCCAGGGAAGAGCAGTCTGCAGGTAGGTCCCTCACACCTGCCTCGTTCTCCGCGAGCCAGGAGAAGAGCAGAATTGAACCGCAACTCCTTGTTTTTCCCCAGGAAAGGGTAGCCATATTGTAACCGAGGCTTGTTTTTTTTTGGAGAGATTTTCACTATAGGGCGCGTGCGCTCGCCAGACAGACAGAGACATAGAGACAGAAAGCGAGAAATCACCCCCTAGGGGGGATGGTCACGCCGCAATCCCTTCTCCTCCATTCTCCTCTCAGGAT